TTCCACGATAGAAAAGCTTATACCTATGCATAGTTTCGCAATTCGACTCAAACTTTTGTAGAATTCAACTTTCCAGCGAATTCCAACTCAAGATTCCTTTTCTTGTGAAGCCAAAAAAGACAAACCAACTCTGTAAAGGGAATCAAAGGGTTTCAACAACATTTATTAAAATTTGCTTTATTGTTTTTTTTATTATTAAAAATTGACCAAATGTATCTAAAGTCGAAAGTGTGATTCTTGGAGAAATATTTTTTAGAAAATCTTTGATCTTCGTTATATTCGAGTAAAAATTCCGAAAGTTATATATATGGACTTATCCTTTCTGAAGTTATTTGAAATAATTTTATCTTCGGCTACTAAATCATAATCGTATAAAGATGGATCAATAGTGATAAAGAAATAGAGAAAAAATGAAAATCATAATCATAATCATTCAATAAATAAATAAATAAAATGACATAATTTTTTGATAGACGGAGATGAATATATCTCAAGACTTGAGAAATATTTTTTTCTCTCTCTCTATATATTTATATATAGAGAAGGATATTCTTATACCAATATAAGAATAAGATGTATTATATCAAATCTTGATCATTGAGAGTGTAACTTATATTGCTGTAAAATGATCTTGATCATATATATATATATATATATGTGTGTGTGTATATAGGGATATGATTATTTGACACTGATATCAAATTAAAAAGTTTGATACCAAGTATTAATTATTGATTTTCTTCAATCTCACGGTTATAATTTATTGGACATTAATAATTAATCAATTATTATTAATAAATACTCAAATTATAATTAATTATTAATTATTAAATCTAATAAATACTCAAAATTAATTAATTAATATGGCCCAATAAATTATAACCGTTTAATTTACAAAAATCAACGGTTAAAATTTAATATTCAAATCTTTTAATTTAATATCGGTATTAAAGGATCTATCCCGAGCCCCCGAGTATATATATATATATATTAAAAATAAAAAATTGAATTATTCTGGTTAAATGGAACCGAAATTGTGAGAAACAAGAGGAGGTGTACGAGTGTCTTTAAAGGAAGAGACATGTGTTGCAAAACGTGGCCTACGCGGATATAGATCGACAATATCATTCACGGGTGATATTAATAAAAGGTACAAAGATTCTCTAATTTTGTGTTGCATGTTAGGTGTTCCAGTAAATTTTTTTTTGTACTCAATAAATTTTACGATGCTCGTTTTAGTCCCTAGCAAATAAAAAGGTTATTTGTAGTTCTTAAGAAATTCAAAATTGACTCATTTAGTTAAAATTGTGGTCCCTCACAAATTCAAAAAAAACTCACATTAGTCCCTCAAAAGAATTAAAATAGGTCTATTTTACGAGTAAATAAGAGTAAATATTTTTTTTTGTCCTCAATAAATTTTACGATGCTCGCTTTAGTCCCTAGCAAATAAAAAGGTTATTCGTGTTTCTTAAGAAATTCAAAATGGACTAATTTAGTTAAAATCGTGGTCCCTCACAAATTCAAAAAAAACTCACATTAGTCCCTCAAAAGGATTAAAATAGGTCTATTTTGAATTTCTTGAGAATCACGAATAACCTTTTTATTTGATAAGAACTAAAGCGGCTATCGTAAATTTGTTGAGAGCCAAAAAAAAAATATTTACTCTTATAATAAATGATCCATTTCAAGTGTGGGAGGAGCACAGTCTGTGAACCTATGATATTTCTGTGGGCTGAGCTTGAGATTGAGAGTACAATCTCATATTTAATAATTTCACCTAGGGATGTAAGATGTTGACTTTTGATACGTGATTCGCATGAAAGATATACGTATGTTCCATTGTTTTGAGGTTTGGACCACAGTTCTTGTGACCAATTGTCTCATTACATGAGCATTTATTAATGGGGAATACTTTTCTCTTTAAAATGAAAGAAAAGTTGTCTCCTACTGAGACAAAAAAGTGGGACCAGCAATTTAAAAAAAAGTAAAAACAAAAATAAAAGCTTAACACGGAAGTCGATGTATGTGTAGGAATGAAATGTTGTCTCATGTGAAAGGAGAAAAGCATTTCTCTTTATTAATTGGGAGTCTGGGACATCGTGTTAAAACTTATAATGCTCTAGATAGGTTTAGTCATGTCTGTATTATGTAGACTCACACCGTTGTAGCATGTTCGTATCTAATTTTACACCAAACTTTTGAAACCCCCGTGTTAAATTCTATTAACATATAGAAAACAATATATTAAAATAAAATAAAATAATAAATTTATTTATTTTTCAATTAAAAAGCTTATATCTAATAAATAGTAATGAATAATTTAGACTTCTTTAATTAAAAAAGATTCAAACGTGAATTTTAATTTAAAAAAAAGTTTAATCATCGTCATTGCATGACATGGAAATACAATTATAATTGTAACCATCTTTATGTTAGACGTATGAATTTAGGATACCTGGCGAAGCTAACCCGATTATATTGGGCCAATAATAACGAGACCCATCTTTTCAAATACTATGGCCCACATGAACAATTCAAACAGACCTGACCCATTTTGATTGACCGAGAATTGGCCCATAGGCATAAAAATTCTTACCCACTCCAAACCAAATGTCTCCCAAATCAATTTATATTTCTCTAATTTTATTATGATAAATAAAATTAAGTAATTTTTTTTTTCGAATTTCATTGCCCTGGTTAGTCCATTGGAGTAGCTCATGTCTTTAGGGTATCCCCACGACCCAAGCAAAACAAGGAATCCATATAAATATGAGACTACTTTCTGAGTTGAGTTACGTGATAATTATCTAGCTCTGAGCTCAATTATGTAATATCACTCTACCATTCATATTATATAAGATACTTTTGAATAATTCTAACAGACATCTTTCCATGACTTTTTAAATGTTTATACTAATACAAATGAGATACCATAATAATTATATAAATGAGAATGGTTTATTATATTTTATTGATTAAGGTTAACTTATTAAACATTAGTGTCTTTATTTCAATTTAAGATCCATGTTTTTATTGTTTTATAGTACATTAAATTTATTTGTTGTATCTCTAGAGTATCATGTCTTTTAATTTTTTAAGTTTTTCTTTACAGGTAAAAGTCCTACAATTTATGGACTCACTTGTCCATTGGAGCAGCTCATGTCTTTAGGGTATCCCCACGACCCAAGCAAAACAAGGAATCCATATAAATATGAGACTACTTTCTGAGTTGAGTTACGTGATAATTATCTAGCTCTGAGCTCAATTATGTAATATCACTCTACCATTCATATTATATAAGATACTTTTGAATAATTCTAACAGACATCTTTCCATGACTTTTTAAATGTTTATACTAATACAAATGAGATACCATAATAATTATATAAATGAGAATGGTTTATTATATTTTATTGATTAAGGTTAACTTATTAAACATTAGTGTCTTTATTTCAATTTAAGATCCATGTTTTTATTGTTTTATAGTACATTAAATTTATTTGTTGTATCTCTAGAGTATCATGTCTTTTAATTTTTTAAGTTTTTCTTTACAGGTAAAAGTCCTACAATTTATGGACTCACTTTTTCTTTTTTGGAGGCCAAATGTTCGGCATTGATGAAACTATACTTGAAAAAAATTGGTTAAACCAACAAAAATAAACATAATTGGCTTAAGAGTTTGGTTCATATCTTATAAGGTATGAGTTTAAATCCCGTTTATGAATACGAAAATTTTATTGATGGATGATATATAATTCCTTTCGAAAATCTTCAAAGAGGTTGCAGATTTTCTTTAACTCGAGTTAGATACTGTATCTAACTTCATTTAAACTTCTGAAAATTTTATTTTACTTTTTAATATTATTTTTCATTAAAATTTGTCTTAATAAAATTTTGTTTCCTGATTTTCATGTTGTTTTAAGCATGATTAAATTTCTCATATCTATAATCTGATTACAGGTTGATTATGTTAAGCAAAGTAATCTTAACATATCCAAAAAAAGGTATTACATAGTATCAATAATTATTAATTCAACTGATAAAATATTTACTAACTCCATATACCGATCCAGCTGAGTTCGAAGCAGATTAATTGAATACTTGATAAATTAATAAATGAATCCAAACAAAAAAAAAATTTACATTTTTTTTTATGATTTTGTTATTTAAGATTTTCAAAACAAATAAAGTTCTATTTTTCATATTAAAAAATGTTATAAATTACTTTAAATTTAAAATAAATAAATTAAAATACACTAAAAGAAAATCAAAACAGGAATCATCAAAAAAATTATTGAAAATATAAAAAATATCTATTATCGTTCTAATATGTTTAGGGATAGGATATATTGAACAAAACATCTGATCCTAACAAAAGCCGAAACCAGCAGAAAGTTATAACCCCTTTTTATCATCTCCTATGCCAAATTATTATTCTCCCTTCCAAAAATCATCAGAATTCTGGACCAACCCTCATCTTTCAAAACTTTGGACTTTTCCAACCAGTCAGCCTTATGATCAAAAGCCTAGAAGAGAAAGAGAAAGTAGAGAAAGAGAAAAACCACATTCTACTTCTAGAAAACATTCATCTAGAACTAGAATGGAAACAACTCCTTCATTGTCTTCAGACTCTACAGACCATATGAATAATCCCAGTTCTTCAAAAAAAAACTTTTGAGACTGTAGATCTCAAAGAACAGTTTGCCATAACCCAAACAGAACCTCAAGACACAAATGATTCTCAATCCTCTGAAACCACAGAATTCTCCTTATCCTCTTCAAAAATATTTTAAATAAAAGTTAATTAACTAGAAATCATGGAACCCCCCAAAAAAACATAACATGGTGAATAAAAAAAAATTTATTATCTATCATTTAACATGACTACAAAAAATTTACTACACACAACATTGTGGGGCCCGCAAAAAAAAAATGACACGATCATTTTTTTTTCTGTGACGTAAGTCTTGTAAAACCCATAAAAAAAACCTTAGCGGAAGACGAAGACGAAAGACAAGATGGAAGAGGAAGAAGAAGAGCGTAGAAGAGAAGAAGCAATCGCATCGACACCGTGCCTACGACCCAATTTCAAAGCCAAAGGTGTCACCAAAGACCAGCTTTCGAAGTTTCAAGTGGGTACTCTTCAATTAAATTCAATTCAATTTTCAGGGTTTTTGAGATTTTTCCCATTTTTCTTTTTTTAAATTTTGAGATTTTCCCAACTTTCTGGGACCTGGGTATTGTTTTACTATGTTTGTTCAATGTTGTTCCCTGCTAACATTGTCTGAAACATTTAACTGTTATAGGAACTTCACAAGAAGCGCTTACAACTAAAGTCAAAATCAAAATTTATTACAAAATCCAAAGGTTCTTTTTTTTTTCTATGTAATGAAAAAAAAAATGAAAATTTATTATGAATTCTATCACATGTCTCCTCAACTTTATGGTTCTGCAGATGGGGCCAACAAAAAATCACAAGGCAATGACCTATCAAGCCAAAAAAATGGAGGTCAAGGTTTAATAGTTGATAACAAAGAACCAAGCCTCTGGAATGATTGTGAAGGCTTTGATACAGGAAATGAAGACTCAAAGGATGGTGTATCTGTGCTTTCTGCACCAAAGAAGCAAAAATTGCATTGGGGGTATAACTCTAGCTCCACTTTGGTTAATGGACCTTATTTAGCAGTGGTTTAGTTTCTTTCATTAATTGAATCAGAATCACTCCCCACTCCCCATTAAATCCCGGTTAGCGAAGGTAAGGAATGAGGACAATCTTTGTAGGCCGTCTTACCCTTGCATATTTGTAAAAAGGTTATTTCTCGAATTTAAACTTGTGATTTTGAAGTCATAAAGGAGCAGCTTTATCACTGCTTGAGACTTAATTGAATTAGAAATCCCAATATTAACCGCACACATCACTGATTGTGTTTATAGTATTGTAGTTCTAGTTTATTCACATGTATATATATGGTTATTTGTTATGTTCCATGTGTGCAGTTTACAATCTTTTGATCTGTCTGTTATTAACAACTTTTGTAGGCTTGACACCAAGGAGAGGTGGGAGAGGAAGTCCAACATGTAGATATCACCATGGAAATGCAGTGAGGAATCTATGAAATTTCATCAAAATGTTTTGAAAATGGGTATTGTTTGAACTTTGAAGATAACCCTGGAAGTGCTCAAGTCGTTGTTTTTGTACTTGCACATGCAGTACATAATAAGGGAACATCAGTTATTCATGTTTTGGGGCTTAAAAGTTGACATGTATCGTCATGGTCATCAGTAACCCTGCCCTGGTTATTATAGCAAGTATAAGATGATAGGCAATGAGCTAATTACACCATAGAGTTCTATTTGTTTAATATTAGCATTATCAACAATGTAACCATCAAACAAATTATTTGATTTTTAGACATGAAAAACAAAGGTTAGAATTTTTGTTCTAGTTGAGATCATTCCCCAACCTGGACACTATACATGTTACAAGTTGAGTGCAAGAAATTTGGACGCATAAATGTTTTGCTGAATGTTGCTCAGTACCAAGTTTATACAGCTGAGGACCCTCTTCGGCTCTTTGCTAATCAATTTTTATGTGTCCACTTTACGGATGATTGTAGTGATATCTTATACAATACAAAATACAACTGAAAAATTATTGAAGTCACAACTATGCACAAGTGACTACATGTTATGTAGGAGCATAGTTCTATGACAGTTATGGTCCAGAGACGTTCTGATAAATCCTAAAGGAAGACAACAAACTGTGAACACCTTCATGGCTATATTTTAGCCACGCTATTATAATTAGCTATTTGGTAACCCAAAGAAAGAGATATCCGTATCATATTGCAGTTATTTCATTCAGTTCCATACCATACAAAAGTCAAGTATAGTTATATAGAGTGCAAAAGACAAATCCCGGTGCTTCATGACTTGCGAGAATAAGAGCCCGTTTGTTTACACTTCTTAAAAAAAATAACTTTTATCTTTATTTATTTATTTTAGAATTGTTTTTTATAAAAGTTAAAACTATTTATATTTTTTAAAAAATATTTAATTTTTGAAAAATATATTTGACTGTTGACTTCTGTTTTTTTTAGAAGTTAAAATTTTTAACTTCTGAAAAAAGTATATTTTTAACAATTTTTGTGACTTATGTTTTTTTTTTTAATGCAGATATCTAAACAAACTAAAAATGAAAAGTGATTTTTTTTCTTGAAAAAAAGCAGCTTTTGAAAAAAAAAAAACTTATCCAAACGGCCCTTAAGAATGAGAGTCGATTGTTTATAGTCTTATCTTTTTCATAACTTGCGAGAATAAAAATGAAAGTCGATTGTTCATAGTCTTATCTTTTCGATTGCCTTTGGAGCTGCACCTATGCAGTGATACCATTCATTCGTCTATTATTTTCACTCATAAAAATCCAATATTATTGTTTTTTCCTTCCAGAAACTTGTCAATTCTACATGTTTATTACATCAAAGGTTGAGAAAATTGTCATTCTCAAATTTGAAAATAAGACGTCCAAGTTATTCAAAACAATTGAAGGGAGAATGTTCTTGTGCTGATATCTAACAAACATACATTGTGACAAAAACTGTCAGTTGGAAAAGATGATATTGAATACAGATGCTTGACCAAAGCTCACACCATGTTCCCATATTTGCACACAAGCAAAATTTGGGTACACTAAACAAGTTAGCCCGGTTATCACTCTTGCAATGTTACAAAGGCAAAACAGTTCTGAGTAGCATTGGAATTATGATCACATTCATTTCTGGAAGATTTTTAAGTTGAAGGGCTAAGAGCACGTTCTATTTCCTCCAATGATCGACCCTTTGTTTCCACAACATTACCAGCTATGTACAAAACAGCAAGAACACAGACAGCTGAGAACCCCAAGTATACGGAGCTGATACCAAACTTGTTTACAACACTCAAGAAATACAGGCCGATGACGAAGTTGGAGATCTGATAAGAGCAAAATGAATAAATAAATAAATAATAGTTTCATTGATGACATAATATTTATGAAAAACTTAATTTAGCATAAATCATTTATAGACAAGAGATCCAAGGAACTTCTGAAGCAGAATGTTGGGTGAGGAACTCCTCGTGAAGCTATTTTGTTAGGAAAGTTTCTTCAATTATAGTATTCAGAAAAGAGGTAGGTTATACTTACAATATCTTTTTAGTTTTGACCTCTTACAACTATTTTTGTTATTGTTAGACTAAAATCAAATCAACCAGCTCTCAGTTGATACTATTTTATTATCAGTGATTTAATTTTGATCTAACGACAACAAAAATGGTTACAAGAGATTATAAGGGGAAAACAAGTTGTAAGTATAAACTTCATCTTTAAAAAATCAATATGTGCTCACCAAAGCACAACTGTGTGGCTGAGCTAGATATGGCGGCTCAAGGTACTTCTTTTCTTTTATATTTGTCTTTAAGAACAGTAAATTGGGATTTTGGTAAGCTCAAAAGAAACTACTAGTAAAAACTACCAAGATTTTAGTTTGTTTCACTAATGTGGCCTTTATAAGGCCTTGGGCACTCTCACCCTTTGAGCTAGCTTTTGGGGTGGTGTATCCCAAGGTTCTTTACATGGTATCAGAGCCTCGCCGCCCCCCACTTTCTCTTGTGGCGTTTCTTAGCACAGGTAGGCTGGGCCTGTTGCATTGTCCACTCTTCAAGCCCAATGGGCTTTCGTGTGAGGGGGCGTGTTGAGATATATAGTCCCACATTGATTGTGTGGGCAACTAATGTGGCCTTTATAAGGCCTTGGGCACTCTCACCCTTTGAGCTAGCTTTTGGGGTGGTGTATCCCAAGGTTCTTTACAGTTTCAGTCTCTAAGCAGTAGAATTTCAAAATTATGGCAAGATAAAGAAATTAGTTACAGGTCAAATATTAGATTCCATAAAGTCACTCACCCAATGTGTGCCTAATGACAAAGAAACTGCTTTTGCTCTAATTCTAGAAGCAAATATCTCCGGTAGAAGAAGGGCAGGCACAGGACCAGCACCAAGAGAGAAGGATAGGACATAGCTGGTTAAAATTCATAGATCACAAGAGTCAATAGAAATGCAAAGTTTAGAAGTTCATTGAAGTTTAAGACTTTTCAGCGAATGAAATCACTATTATTGACAAAATTAAATAACTTACAGAACAGTCCCAAGGACTGCAAGGGTGCCAGAGTATGGTGCAAGGACCTTCCAAGTAAAGGACAGAGAAAGAAGCAACATAGAAGCAGCCTGGTAAAGACATAAACAAAAAGCCTGTCAATTATATAAATAAAAAATGCTTTGGGATGATTTGGTTTCACTGCACCAAATAAAAATATACGGATCTGAATCCTCTCATGTGAAAAAAAACATGACATGGTCATGTGGAGAATCATAACCATACAAATGTGGATCAATGGTAATAAAGGATGAGAGAGAAAAAATATTGGAATTGGTAGTTACAAAATCATAATCGTTGATTCATCTTTGTATGGTTGTGATCTTCCCACATGACCATGTCATGTTTTTTTTTTTCACATAAGAGGATCCATTTCCAAAATATACATACAAAGTCATCACCTCATCCAGGAGGATAGGGCTTTAAATTAGTTAGATTCATAACAAAAGTATTTTGGTTACATTTAAGCATCTCACTGAAAAAGACAGATTAAATCGATAACTACCAACCAAATTATACTTCTAACATGCAAGCATAAAATGAAATTAAACATCATAATGGTTGAAAGTAACCTTTCTTCTGTGAGAGTAAAATAAAATATAAGCATTCACAACAAAAGGGGAGTGAGAGAAGTGGAAAAGAAGAAGTTTGACCCCTTGTTTAGACTTCTCAAAATTGTCTTGCATAACCTCCTTATCATCTTTACCATTTTTAATATAGCATAGTAGCATGTACAAACCCTTCCATTCCCAAGTACTGCCCAGATGGGTATAAAATCGTTCAAAGCACCATTTCTGACTAGCATTGGAATATCTTCATTCACCCTTGTAAGTAATAAACCCAATAGAATCAGCATGCCTTACCAGCATGACAAGAAATGGTACTTGCATTTTGCAAATTGCACTCAATCAATAAAATCTAAAGCTACAACTACAAAAGTAGTACAGAGAACAAGGGAAAGAATATTCATGTAAGAAAAATCAAATCAGCATACTCTAGCAGGTTGAATACATTTATTTTTCTGTACAAGCATTTCTAGTATTATGGGAGTACTGATTTGTCAGTACTACTTTACATTCATATTTTGCCATGTGGACCTTTTGAGTATCGTAGCTGAGTTGAAGGCTGAAAGGAGATGGTTTCTAAATTGACAAAATTCTTTTGTGTCCAAAATTACATTTGAAGTGTAAAAGTATATTCGGACACATTAACCAAACATGCATTGTGTCACTACATTAGTGCAAGACATTTTTCTTTCACTTTGGATAAGTTTAGCCAGGCAAAGCATTGGGCCCAGAAAAATCAATATTTACATTTAAACTTGTGATGTTTCAGTCATATCATTAATCTATCATGCAATATCTCACATTTTTCTGCTTTAGACCTAAAACAGATGTGTGCTGGAAATAACTATTACCATCCCACTAAAGCTTATGATAAGGAGACTTTTCCTTCCTTGTCTGTCCATCAAGGAGGAAGCAACAGCAGTTCCTGTAACAAAAGAAAACATCACTCAGAAACAATATCATGTTTGTGCATGTTGCACAATAAACATTGATCTGTTTTGGTTGAATGCACACTAACCATTTTTAAGATTAAATAATACTAACCAAAAACATTTGATGCACCAACCAGGGCACTTGCTGCAACATCGGAAGCAATTCCAGCACTGCGGAACACGGCAGTTGAATAATATACCACAGCATTTATTCCAGCCAACTGCTGGAACAAGAAAAGTGCTGCCCCAACACTAACAACTGCAACAAGACATGCTTCAAAAAAGTGCTACACCATTTCATATAAGAAAGCATTAATCAATGCTATAGTAAATTTTTTTTTTTTTTATAAACCAATGCTATAGTAAATTAAAAAGGAAGTTGGGAAGTGAAATTAAAACATAAACCATGATAATATAATCATTAAGATATAAATCTTCAAACAAATATATCAGGTATAAAAGAAATGCCTCAAAGAAATCAAACGTAAAAGGCATTCTCATGGTTTATCAAATCTGACAATGGATTGGGTTTTAGGTTGAAACAAGAGAATTGACTTTCATGAATCATCATTCAAGATAAAATTATCACAATGTTTATGGTAGTTAGATCAGACCTCCTATACACAACACCCTTCAATCAAAGAAATTATTACAAAAAGAAAAATAAACCTTTAAACAAAAAAAGATGCAGGTCAGTGCTATCAGCTAGAATTTGTCTGAACTGAGAATGCAATACCTTTCCAATATCGGCTACTAAACAGATCAAACCAACCGGCTTCAGGTTCAGAAGAACCTTGACTTGCTGTTCTTAAATCATGCATAACCGCAGCAACTCTTTCTTTTCCATACAGTGTTTTAATAGCCTTTTCAGCTTCAGAGATTTTTCCTTGCTGTAAAATAATAAATGGAATTTTCTCAGAAAACCGAAGATAAAATTATTGTATTAAACTCTTAACAGATACACATAAAATATAAGACATCATATATTTATAATATGTTTGGTCTGTTGGATTAAATTACGAAATATAAGCATCATGACTCTTGCAATTTCCACCCAGTTTAAGCATTAAAGAAAATTGATAGTGTCTTTATCATATTTAAAACATAATATAAGCTCTATTTTAATGTGCTTTACTTACAGTCTTCAAATAAGCTTATAGTTTAGCTTGCAAAGTTGTCACCATATATGACAATGACTTGCAATGGTTAGGTTCATGAGATGAATATTTGACAAAAAGCCATTGATGGGTTTGAAAGAATTTTTTTTCCCCAATGGTTTAGTGGTAATATGAACTTATTGCTTCCAGAACAAAAGATATCACAGTATTGCAGGACAACCTGAAAAAGCCATCGGGGACTTTCTGGAGAAATTCCCATTCCTAGTGCTAACAGAACAGATGGAACTACTGCAATGCCAAACATTGTTCGCCACCTGATAAAATCAAGAAAATTGAAACTAGAAGATGCAGAAAACTGACCAACAAAGGATTCTGGATCATAAAAGAAGAAAACAAGATTAAAACCATGTAAGACACTAAATCAAGATTTTAGTATTAACTTGAAACTAACACAAAATCACATAAGCCTGGAAGAGTTATTTTCAAAAGATAAAAGAAAAAGTGTGCAGAGAAGTAGAACTTTCCAGTGAATCCAGATATATTGGCTGTAAAAACGAGATATGACTACTGTAATGTGGAAAAATATTAAGTATCAATTTCAAATATTGACAAAAGAAGGTCCTAAGGTAAGAAAAAAAAAAGGATTTAATATCATATTGTATTACATCAAATCTGGATATTACCAGTTGAATAGTTCAATTTATCCTTCACCATAGTTGCAGAATTTCAATATCCAAGTTATGAATTTGCAACTGCATATTTATCCAAAAGTATAAGTTCACAACCCTAATTTCTCCTATTCCTTCGTGTCAATAATGATGAGAAGATTAAAACATGCAACTATGAATAGGATATCTGTAGTCATATTTCTGAGCTAAAGAAATCAATATATTCAAAAATAATTATCCATTTTTAGTGCACAATTATGACCTTAACATCAATTCATATTGAGAAATACTTTGGATATAGATATGGCCATCCACTAGCAAAATTCTCCTCTAGGAGCACGTTTTCTTCTGTGATATCATCTATTTCCCATTCACAACAAAAACAAATATCTCCACTTTCTTTCACATGAAATATGAGTAATAGAAGTAAGGATTTTTTTAGTTTCAAATCGTTTACAATGAATGTAGTAATAAAAAAAGTGGAAAGGTGAAACAACTCAATACCATATAGGGTTTCCTGCCAGAGGCAGCCCAACCACCAGCGCTAAAAGAATCCCAATACATATAAAAAGTTGATTAACAGATCCGAGTGCACCACGAATTTCGGTTGGTGAAATCTGCGCATTAGAAGGAGTCACCTCATGATTCACACAAAATATGTAAACATGATCACAAAGATTAGAAAAACTTATTAAGTCACCACCTCGGAGATGTATAGTGGTACAATAGCAGATGTAACACCAATTCCTATACCAGCAAGCAAACGGCCAATGATCATTGTCTGAACACTCTGGGCTGTAGCACTGTTAATACATCATAGTTTAAAATGTCAGATTTCAAAAATATATAAAAGATCAAACCTTGTACTCAAGAACAACTGACAGACCAAAGAAATGCTCCAATTGTTAGAGGGATTGCATCTAACTGAAAAGTCCTAGTTCTGCCAAATTTGTCAGCCAATGCTCCACCAGTAAATGAACCTACAGTGGCACCAGCGAGTAGCGTGCTGACAATCCAACCTGTTCATGATTTCACACTCATGAGAATCATGAGAAAAAAAATTGACGGGGCTTATAAAAGTGAAGCTAGAACTTTTGGAAACAAATGTTAAAGGTAAACACAGGTTCGACGAGAACAAAAGTAACAAAAAATTTCACTTAAACTTTCTTTGACAAAGCTCAGCCATTTTTCTGTTTATGTAACAGTAACATTAACATGGACAGACATGCATACTGAAATTTTTCCTTGCAATATAAAGTAAAAACATGAGTGAATATAACAACAGACAGTACTTCTGTAAATATCGACAATTTTCAGTGCCTGTAAAATCAATAAAAAAATTTAAAGTAATTTACGACTTTATATATCTATTTTTAAGAAAACATGTACCTTGTACAACAGTATTTTCAGTGATTCCAAGATCCTTAGCAAGGTATTCAAGTGCACCATTTACCACCCTAAATCAAATAGGGTATTGTCAGAGTTATCCAACGTAACGATGTTATTTAACGACAAATGGTAACAGTTCTACATAAGACTCAATACATGACTTGCAGCTAAAAACTTAAGACATCTAGAAGTGGCTCATATCATTCATATAGCTTAGATAACAGAATAAAGAAAATGTAATGCTGCATTATAGTAAATTGACACCACATACTAAAATGAAGAGGCTATCCATACCCAAGGTGGTAGCCAAATAAAATGGCTCCGAGGCAAGCAACACCAACATAGGGTAGAACAGTTCCGGAAGATTTGCCCTGAGGAATAGTGGGAACAACATCCTCGATATCTCCATCTGCAACTCGATTTCACTTGCATTGCAATGAGCAATTATAAGAGCATATAAAAATATAAAATAGCTAGAAGTCCCAGATTCATACAGTAAGCTGATGAAACTTGGAAAAGAAGTTCAGAGAGTTTGCAAATACAAGACTTGTAAAAGGTAATTCCAGCACTAAAAACAGTGTTTTCAGAATCATTGCATATACAACTTCACAATGTAAGCATATTAATATCATACATACTCTGGACTCTGGAGATGACATTAAGAGCCACCAAGAGACAAAACACAATTAGAAAAGATGAATACTATAGTATGAACTCTTGACATAGTTTTGCAAAAGAACATTATTCTTTAAATTAACCAGGTTGAAATTAACCATTCACGTATCAACTCGATTATGAACCATGATTAGGTAGCGCGTCATTACTTCATTTATTATGATATGCATTGTCCTAAAATCAGTCAATGATTTTCATATTGGGCATCATCAAGCAAACAGAGTATCATCTACATGAATCAAGCACATTACACATTTTGCCACAAGATTAAATAGGGCCTTGCCACAAAATTAAATATGGTCCATCTACATGAATCAAGCCAACAACAACAATCAAGCACAGTATCTACAAGGCAAACTAGAAAACATCATTGCAGATAAACAACAAAAAAATTAAATATGAAATCAGCAATTTTTCCATGAAAGTCAAACAGGGCAACATCAAGCAAACAAAAATTTGGCAAATTCACATGATTCAAGCACGTCACACATCTTTGGCAAATGCAGTCCAATAAATTTCAGAATAGCAAATAAACTGAACAAATCAAAGCCATCAGCAACAGCATACAAACCAGAAGCCTGAACCCTGACTGATCTGGGCTTAGCTGAGGACCCAAAAACGCCACTAAAACCAACTCTCGTACTAGTTAGCTCATTTTCCATAGTAACAGAACCAACCCTTAAGCCACATGAATTAGAATTACTGATCATGCATACTCCTCTGGGTTTCAGAACACTCCCATTTCTGAACTCTCCAAAACCCACCAAGCCCCTTTGCTTATGAACCCCAAAAGTGGCTCCTTTAACAGCAAAAGTTGATGCCTGCATATTATCTGATTGAAAATTCCAACCCCCACAAAGTCAAAATACTTTAATTTATAAATAATATGTAGAAAAAACATCAATAAGAAAAAAAAAAAAAAAAGAGAGAGAGAGAGAATGGCTTCCATGCAAATGAATTTAGGACAATATCAAATATGATTGAAGTGTGAAAGAAAAGGAAGTAACAGATTAATTACCTTATAAAAGCGTAACAATAACTGAAGGAAACCAAAAACTAAGAAAAGGGGTGATGGAATTTTGATAGTTTAGGTGCTCTCTCTGAATAAAAATGCAACTTTTTGTATTGGGATTTGCTCTATTTTTTTTTTCTATTTCTATGCTTAACGTTTTCTGATGAAAGATGAGAACTTCGAAAGGACCGCTACTAAGTGAAACCAACAACAAGGACGAAGCTAGTAAAGTTTTTTATTTTTATTTTTCTTAAGAAAAAAATTGCATATTTTTCGGTTTTATTTTTGTGCAAAGAAAAGAAACTAATAAATATGGAAATAGATTCTCTGATGTGCCAAAAAAACATGATATGGTCATGTGAGAAGATCACAATCATACAAAGGTAAATGAACGGTTATGATTTCATAACTACTTATTTTATCATTTTTTCTCTCTCCTTCTTTTTTACCATTGATTCATCTTTGTGTGGTTATGATTCTTCACATTACATGACCATGTGAATTTTCACATTAGAGGATCCAGATCCAATAAATATAGAACAAAAAATGGGGTTTTGAAAAGAAAAGAAAAAGAAAGGAATTTCTTACGTGGGAATTTGGGATTAGATTATGGAAAAAGGTTTGTGTTGGAGATGTCGTCACTGCACGTTGGTGCTGCTGTGTCTGCTGGCCAATGTCCTTGACTGCTGCAGCTATGTGACATGTATTGGTCCCACATTTTAACATGTCAATATGGAAAATCGATTTAAATAAAACGAAAAATTACAATCATCCAAAAATAAACTAGTGATAAAAAATTTATAATTACTTATTTTAATATTTTTTTATCTTTTCATTTATTATCATAAATTTATTTTTATATGATTATGATTTCTTCGTATAACTATGTTACGTTTTATTTAATATGAAATGACCCACTTTCTATTTCATAGATGATAGTAATTTTCTTTTTCTTTTTTATATTTAGACTCATTTTGTTTGGTTGTAATTTGGTTGATGATCGGAACCAGAGTCTGTTTGTCACATTTTTTAATTTAAAAATCACTTTTAAGTTAAAATTAAAAAAAACTTAAAAAATAAAGTGAAAAGTTGTTTGATGACTATATGCATTGTTACGAGGGTTTTGAAAGAGAGAATATAAAATAATTTATTGTTAGGATGAATTATTTGGATAAAGAGTAAAATTGATAAATACAAAATTAGAATAAGGATGAAATTTAAAAATAAATATAACAACTATAAAAAGTTAATATATATCTTAACAAAAATTCCTCTTTAGAGCTTTTTACTTTTGCTTTTATTATTTATTTAAAAAACTCTTTATATGTAACAACTTTAATAAAAGAGGTAGGATTATTTGACACCTCGTCTGAGAGCCATTAGATTGAAAAAGATCAATGGCTCTGATTTGTGAGCATGTGACATCATTGATCTTTTTGATCTAATGGCTCTCAGATGAGGTGTCAAATTTCAAATTTGACACTGGTGTCAAAGGATCCTACCTCTTAATAAAAACATGTTTGGCTAAATTCTATTTATAAGAAGAAGAGAAGAGAAGTTAAAAATAAGAATTCTCAAACAGGCACTTAGAATTGGACTAACATGATATTGAATTAAAGAGATTAATATTTCTCGTGTCGTAAGATATAATTTTATTTCCTATACACACATAAAAGTGTGTGGTGCCCATGTTATCTTTTTCTTTCTCTTCTTTCAAAAGGAACACACACACTTTTATATGTATATAAGAGATAAAATTATATCCTATAACATGAGAAACATTAATCCCTTGATTAAAATACATAAATTAAAGGGGTGATTGCCCTTTTTATGCCTAATTAAAAAATATATTAACATTTTGTCCTTGTTTTTTAACTATTTAAAATTTTTAATCTTTAATCAAAACTATACCTCAATCTGTCTCTATTTTGATCATTGACTAGACAAGTTACTTCAATATATAAACCTTATACTTGAGTAACCACCGTGCGCGTTAGTTACTCGAGTAACTAACCAGTAACTCGTGAGTTAATTTGGAGAATGCAATTCTTATTTATGCTTAAAGGCAATGAAACATAAAAAGCGCATTTGGGAAAGTTAAGTTGTAAGGGTAAGAGCATAATCCTACGTGGTCCCAAGGAGAGGAGAGGGATCCAGTGAGCGAAGGTGAAGGTGAATTGTGTCGGAAAAAATGGTGTTAAAATAATTGAAAGGGGATAATCCGTGTTAGAGAAATTGCTTCAATAATACACACAGCTCCATGAAATACGCAGAAGAAATTGAAACATGCAATAATACAAAGTTAAAGCGTACCATACGAAAATATATAAATGCATCAAGGGAAAATTCGAGCTCAGTGTTAAACATTGTGTCCTTAGATGATTTTGCCCTCTCTATGGCGTCCAAGATTTGTGGACAATTATCTCTCAAGATAGAAACGAATTACCTCTGTTTGTTGATGGCATTCTAAAACAAACAGCGCCGACGAACACAACCTTCGTTTGAACCACTGCACAAAATGAATGCAAATGAGTGCAAAATATTTCAAAAACCATTATGGCAGAGTTTCAATATATGAGAGAAATCAGAAAAACTCACTTATTTCTTCTGATTTCCTTCAATATTTATAAACCATGTTTGGTCATGATGAATGGTGCCTATTAACAATGAAGAGTCGTGCCTGTTTGGCAGTGAAAAGTCATGTTTGTTCACCAGTGAATAGTTATATATGTTCAACAGAGAAAAAACACATTTCTTCACACTTAACTTCTTATTCATAACATTTGATTTCTATAAGAATTCTAACAATCCCCCACATGAATAAGAAGTTCACTCATCGTGACTAATTGCATATGATGATTTATGCAGTGTGCGATAGCTTAATGAGAAACAATTGCATTAAAATAGATAGTTTTTACACTTTGAACCTTCCCTGACCTACCCAATTTACTTGGTCAATCGGTGGATGCGCTGCTTTGAACCCTCAACCTTTGGTGCAAACCTAGACAATAGAAAACATACAATCATTTCTTAAACGAAGTTGGTCCACATTGTTGTGTCTGTTGTGGCCCTGGACATCCCTTGGTTCTACGAGTTCATTAGAGAATATGCATAGATATTCTCATAGAAGCAACCCTCCTTTGCACTCACATAGGTGATTTCTTATGATGTATCGAACCATACACCTTCTGAATACATCAGATTCAGAAATTATTAAAAGCCTAATTGTTTACCCTTTTTATACTACACTGCTTCATCTAGGAATGAGTGTGACTTTTGAAAAACTTCATAGTGCTTAAACTGTCAATCATGACTTCGTTGTCTCTTTGAACCTAGTTTGTGGGATCTCCACTCAGCAAGGTAAAGTGTCTATGATGATCAACATTTAATGGCCTTTAAACCCATTCCTTTCGACAAATTATACACCAATTTTCTAGTTACACCTTTTGTTAGCGGATCCGCAATATTCTCCTTGGACTTCACATAGTCAATGGTGATTATTCCACTAGAGAGTAGTTCCCTTATGGTATCATGTCTTCGACGTATATGTCGAGACTTACCATCATATATGACATTCCTTGCCTTTCTGATAACTATCTTGACTATCACAATGTATGCAAAATGCTGGTACTGGCTTCGGCCAATTTGGAATATCCTTAAGGAAATTTCGTAGCCACTCGGCTTTTTCACCGACTATATCCAAAGTAATAAACTCTACTTCTATGGTAAACTTTTCTATAAAAGTGTGCTTGTACGATTTCCAAGAAATTACACCCCCACTAAGTGTGTACACATACTCATTTGTGGATTTAGTATCACTAAAATCAGTGATCCATTTTGCATCACGGTGTCCTTCTGGTACAAATGGAGAAGAGGTAGAAATGAACGAACCTGGTGACAAGGAAGAAGAAGTTCCGAGAAAGGGAACAAGAGTAAAGATGAGGGCCATGTGTATTAAAGACTAGGTGATGGGAACACATGGGGGATAAATGGGAGAGGCCCAAATGTTATTCTGCTTATAGTGGGCTGGGATGGTTATGAGCCCATCGTTGTTTATTTGTCTCTTTTCTTTAATTCGAGGTCATGGTTGTTGTGAGGAGTTAACTAAGAACTTGTAACTAAATTCTTCCCTTCCTTCCTTGAATTTTCTAGAGTTGTTGACAGCCTCGAATTGCCGTTGATATTCAAATAATATAGAGTTGCATTGATCTTTTCATTTGTTGTTTAATTCCTATCATAATACAAGGGAGAAAGAAAGGAAGATCATATGCGGTACAATCTCTTCATAATATTTAGACATGGACTATTGAAGTTTGTTTATTAACTTGGTGTTCTAAATTCATGCATATATGATCTAAGGCATACTTTTTGTGTTTAAATTTCCTACATGTGGTTACACTTGTAGTTGTAGGAAAACTTATCTATATAAGGCTGTATTTATGGTTACACTTGGCACGATTGTATTGCACGAAATGGGTTATGCTGGTTGTGTTTTGTCACGAGGGAAAATGATCTTGACTCATTCTTAGACATTGATGCTACTTTCATAAAAATGATGTTTCATTATCATCCTAACCACATAGATGCAACCGGTTATCATCCAGCACTTTCTCTTCTAAAGAGTTGAAATATATTACTATTGACACATGATCTTGAACTTGGAAGAGATTTTGGTTTAAGATTTTTACTTATGTATTTTTACTTAAATATGTCGTGTGCATCTTTTTGCATTTCTTTTGGGGAAGAAATTCAAAAATTTCAAATGAGTTTTACTTCTTGCATGACATTTTAAAATTAATACATTTTCTTACTTTCAAAATTATTATATGGGCAGAGTTATATTTATAAACTTTTTGTTTACAAATTCTTTCAAACTACACTATGTTCTCCCGAGAGAACACTAAGTTACATTATGTTCTCCCGGAAGTACAGAATGTAATTTGCAAAAGTTTGTAAAAAAAATTTGTAACCGGATTCTCCCCCTAATTATATATAAGAAATTTTTTTTTTGCATCTTGTACATTTTTTTATTGAAATATATTTATATTTAATCATATTATATAGACAAACTCATGTTATTTTATTAAGGTATGATGATTTATGTTTTACCTTTCTATGTTTTTAATTCATCATATGAAGAATTTCTATTTTATACTTCTCTAATGTTTCGTTACAATAAAACATAAATACATATACACTTTTATAATTTATTTATTTGTTTAAAACTTTTTCCTCCAAAATTTAGGATAAAGTCATTACCATTTATTTGGATATTAAAATTTATGACCTTTTTTAATTTAAATTAATAGTGGTGGCTAGAGGTGGCAATATGGGTTGAACCCGACAAGTCAACCCGCCAAAACGGGGCGGGTTGGGTTACATAATTTAACCCACCAACCCGACTCAACCCGCCCCGTTGGGTTGTGGGTCAAAACGGGTTGGCAGCAAGTCGGGGCGGGTTGGCCTGTCGGGTCAATTTTTTTTTTACTATTAATTAGTGTTTTATTTGTTTTTAAGCTTTTGTGATGTCCAATTTTTTGTTATCTTAGTACTCTCTAGAAAAAATATAGAAGAAAAACTTTATTTATGACAAAAGTAATTGATGTATGGAGATAAAAACAAGTTTGTAAAGAATATCTGACTAAATATTAGCAAACATTTGGACTTAAGATTGAAAAAAAATTAAGGGGAATGTGATATGAAAATAAGTAATATTATAATATTAATAAAATATAATTTATTTTTTAATTTTAATGTTTTAAGCAGGTTGACCCGCCAACCCACCATAAAACGGGACGGGTTGAGGTTTTTAACCCAAATTCAAGAGGCGGGGCGGGGCAGGGTAACCCACTTTTGGCGGGTTGGAGGCGGGTCGGGGCGGACCAACCCGTTTTGCCACCCCTAGTGGTGGCAATTTCTAACTTGACCCAGTGACATGACCCGGACATGACATGAAATTTTTGTGTTCAAATCAACCCGCATTTTTATTTATGTCGTGTTGAATTGAAAAAATTTGACACAAAAAAGATGTTTGGTAATTCTAATTAATTTCAACTCAAATTTCAAGAAATGATTCTGCTTCAACTCAGTTTATAACACGAAAAAATATGTACACTCAAATTTCAAGAAATGATTCTGCTTCTCAAATTAATTTTTCAATTGTTTAATAATTCTAATTACTAACTTTATTATTTTAGTTTTGGATGATTTGTATTGAATTATATATGAATATTTATTATTGTTATGGAGATGTTTGGTAATTATATGGGGTTTTATACCTTGATTGTGGAAAGAAATTTATGATACATAATTTAATAATTTCGATCGACCAGCATATTAAACGAGTCGTGTATTTGTCAATTTCGAGAACGAAATCTTAGAAAGTAGTCATGAGTTACATTCGGTGGCTAAATTAGCCTATATATCATATTTGCAACAGCTCTACGGACCAAAATCCTGAAAGTTAAACAGAACTAACAAATTATTATTTGCTTCCTTAAAAATGTTAAGAAAATAAGGGTGGAGGATCAATTCGAACTGTCACCCTTCAACACAACAACTCCCTGTTATTATGTTATTAGAGAGTGTTTGATGTGATGTATAAAATCTGATAATATAAGCTTATATTATATGTTACAATATTTTTAATTATTTGATATGATCATCGTATAGTATAAGATTATAAGTTTATACATCATTATGCTTTTATACATCAAAATGATGTATAACTTAATCAGGCCTAGAAGGGTAGTTAAGGTCTGATAAAAGATTGACGTATTAACCAATTCTCAAGAATTAATATATTATTTTAATATTAGTATATTAAAATAAAAAACAATTTTCAATATATAATTTTTTAAAATATTAAGGATTTTTATTTTTACAAAAGTTAATATATTTTTTGGACACACTGCTCAACATATTTCTATAAAAAATAATATCATATGATATATTTGAAAGAATTATGTAAATTCATTATTAAAAGGTATTTTTGATAAAAATATTTATTTTTAACCTATCTAGTATTATATAGTGTATTTCCAAACATTAAATGATATTATCTTATACAATATATCATCTTATACAATATCATGTCAAACGTTAGATAATATTAAAATTTAATCAAATCTTATACAGTCTATCTTATACTATCATGTTTCATCCTATACTATGTACCAAACATGCCTTTAAGGATACCATTTGGCCATTTGAATTAAGTCAATTAACAATTAACGACAAAGTAAAATTTTCTGTATAGCATTAAATATGTACTATTAAATGTTATAAAATACAATACAAAACTAATAAAGCTCTAAATATTTGAAGAAGGGATGCTTTTTCATTCATTGATCATATAATGACATTAATTTCTTATAAACAATACAAAAACTGAAAAAAGACAATGAAAAGACACATATCACTAAATAGCATATTACACCATAATAAACACTAATAAATAACTCATTATACCATCAATAAGTGATCATTATATCACTAATAAAATATTTTTTAGTGCACTCATATGCTAATTACATCACACTTAAAGACGTCTAAACAATTATTAAATTTTTTAACTGACACTATAAAATAAAAAGTCTTCAACATTAAATGCATAATATAGTATTAAAAATATAATTAAAGACTAATGATTTATATTAGTGATGCGTTACAATTGATCATTAAACTCAATGCATAATTGCTAGGATTTTAGTCAATTAAGCTCTCAGCGGCCGTCTTTGACGGCAAAGTAAGAAAATCACGCTTTCTTCAAAAATGCAACATATGGTGCGTAGAAAAACACTTCAATACATATAAAACAAAAATCACTAACTTTTTGAGTAAATACCATTTTCGGTTCTCATCAAATTTCACGATACCGGTTTTAGTCTCTAGCAAATAAAAAAGTTATTCGTGGTCCATAAGAAATTCAAAATGGACTCATTTTGGTCCTTATAAGTAACTAATGTAGGTCTTTTTTGAATTTCTTAGGGACCATGATTTCAACTAAATGGGTCCATTTTGAATTTCTTACAAACCACAAATAGCCTTTATATTTGCTAGAAATTAAAGCGGGCATCATAAAATTTGTTATGGAAAAAAAAAAAGTATTTACTCCTAACTTTTTTCTTCACATACAATAAGGTAACTGATGAATAAATCTTTGGTACTACTGCTGTATTAAAGCTTCAGTGCATCCTACCAATAAAAATATTACATGTCAGTTAAAATTCTTTTTTTTTTTTCTGTCAAATTTTTTCTCTCTCCTCTAATATATAATGCTCTCATTAATAAAATGCACTGAATCTAACTCTGCGAAAAAGATTTATTCTAACTGATTAGTCAAACAGTTAATAATATAGAATCCAAAGTGCACTTAAATTCTTCAACAACATATAACGTTAGAAACCCATCATTAGCTTTAGCAAAAACAAAGTAAAAGGTTTCCTTCTCTCTCTATCTCTCTCTCCCCCACCTAAGATTTAGACCGTTACAAAATATATTTTATTTTTTTTGTTTACAAAAAAAGTAATTAAATTTTATTTTTTACTTGTCAATTTCTATATTGATGGCAAGTGAAAGAATCCCAAGAAGAAGCCAAAACTGTTGTGTTTACAAGGAGAAAAGAAAAAGACACTGACAAAACAAAACCCTCAAATTCCAAACATTCCATCATCATCATCATTCATGGGAGACACAAACAAAAACGTTTCTTTGAAACAAACCCATCAACCAAACCCCATTCTTGAGCCTCTCTTCCATGCCCTTGATCCCATATCTCTGATCCTCAACCAGAATTCTCATTCAGAACAACAACAACAACCTTTTCCTCTTATGCTCACCTCTTCAGATAGCTTCATCATGGAGAGAGGACCCAAATACAATGCATACGCTGAGTTGAGGGAAACAAGGCTACGCATGAAGTGCATGAGGATGCAAGAACAAGAACATGAGGAGGATCTTGAACCAATTATTAAACTTGCAACCCCACCAACGAAACAGGTCAAGTTTCAAAAAGGGTCATTGTTTATTGCTCAGTCCGTGCCAGATTTCTCTGCAACATTGAGGAAAGAGAATAGGAAACCTGTGAACACTACTTTGCCTTCAATGATGGAGATGACACCACCACCGTCCAAGACCAAGAGTTTCTTCTCCAAAGGTAATGGGGTGTTGTCAAGTTCAAGAGGAAGCAAGTCAGCGAGTGCTGGTGAGAAAAAGAAAGATGGTGGTGGTGGTGCAGTTTTGTTGATGGCAAGGAAGAGCTATGCCAGCATTGATGAGCTCAAGAGTTTGTCTTCTGCTACGGCCATTGCCATCAATGGTGAAGGCAGAGGAGGAAGGAATAACAGAGTTATGGGGAAGACAGTTTCAAGGCACAGACAGTTTTGAATATTTGGTGCTGTGGAAAAATGGGGTTCCTTGAATTTGAATTTGAATTTGTTTCATTGTTGAATGAATTTGTTACTTTGAGAGGCTTTGGTGATGGTTATGCTATTTTTTCATTTGTTTTTTTATTCATTCTATTTGACTTGATTTGTTTTTCTTTTCTTCCTATTTTTTCCTTTTGAGGAACTTACACAGTATTATGTAAAGCTAATGATGTATTTGCGAGTGTTGACAACTATGACACTATTATAGGAAATACATAGTTTTAAACATTCCTCTTAAGTGGGGATGATTTTGTTCATTGTTTTAAAATGATGCTGCTTCTCTGCTGATTGTTTAGCCAAAAGTAGACCATCCCCAATGGAAGTGAGAAAAGACTAGACAGCTTATTAGTTAAGCCAAGATTTTTTTATTTTATTTTATTTTAACAAAGCTGATGTAGTTAAAAGGCCAGAGATCACATCTAGATAATTATATATGATATTTTTATCTTAGTTATTACTATTATTGCATTAAATTTTTATTATAATGTCTTGAAATTATATATTTGTTGGCCTGTTTATAAACATAGTTCTATTGTTTCATTCAAAAACTAGGTCTTTAAACTAAATTTTCATGTCAGATAAGGCTTTTGTGAGAGTCAAGTCTGTCCTTAGAAAATTAGAAGACAAAAGAGACATATATCACGGAAATAAGTCATACCAAGAGGCCCTATTAGTAATACTACGAATATATTTGTACAATGTATACCATGATTCTTGAACCAGAAAAAAATAATCAGAGAAATTACTGGTGAATGGTGATATGTTGCATGACCAGCTCAGGAATTTTAGTAGCAAGATCTGGTAAATTTAAATGGTGCCCTGCTTAGAATCTACAAGGTCTTGAACAATTTCATCAACCAAAATTTGAAGCACATCCCTTTCTATATCAACACCAACCTCAAAAGCTTCAACATTAAATTCTGTCCATTTCCCTAAGGAGTGGTTCATCTCCCATTCAATTATTTCATCTGGTACCATCCCAGCTAGACATGCCCACTTTTTGATCTCATTGTTGACCTCTTGAACCAACATCTCAGCTTTCATGCATAATGGCACCTTTTTCCATGCAGACCGTACCTTGAATACACTGTTGGAATAATGGCAGCAATTTGATTCTAAATATTCTATTACACAATCAAATAGAAATCCCTTGAGTTGGCTTCTCTCTTTAGATTCCTCACAACCCACAAAGCCATTAAAATCTGTCCACATAGCATCACTTGCCATGGTGTCTAGTTCATCAAGCAGAAAGCTAGAAATGAGAAGTTGTGGCACTCCATCCCCACTGTGCTCAGTGGCATTTCCAAGAACCAATTCAGCATTTAAGATAACATCTTTCATATGAGTAAGCTTGCTTTCTGTCAATCTTGTCCAAAAAGAATTTAAACTTTGTAATATCCTAGGAATTTGGTTGACAAGTTGAGCCAATATCTCACAACCTATCTTCCCTTTGTTAAATGATGTTGCAGAATCAAAAAGCTCCACATCATGTTCCAATTGTTCCAGTTGATCATAGGAGCAACTCAAAGGGTCAGGGAGAAAACCATGCCCTGGAATTAAACCAAGGATCAAAGACATCAACAAGGAATTAAAATTGGCTCAAAAACCAAAGGAATTAAATAAATGAAGACTAGAAATCATATTTTCTTAATTCCATTTACCTGAGCTTTCATCCAGACTACTGGAGGAAAAGGAAGCTTCCAGGACAGATCCAGGACTGAGATGATTACCATTGCAAGAGGTTTCAAATAATCTTCCATGATTTGCTCCATACTAGTATCAGTAGAAACAAAAGATAACGTCAGGTATAACCTTTCATATATTATTTATTTTACAGGTAAATTGATGAGAGTTAGTCCACACTTCCAAAATGTTGAAATTAAATGCCCAATACACCAATTACACATAAAGTAGTATTGGGTGAATTAGAGTTATACGAAATAAATAACTTTGCTATTTGTTAATTTTCCTTATCCACACACTAGCTATGTTGTGGTAGTTGAGCAAAATTACACACTAAAAAGAAAATGCTAATTGTAGAATTCAAGTGCCAAAAATCTGTTGCAATTGAGATTTTACATCCTGCTACAGCAAGCGCAGGAAATAAAGCAAACTTCTGTGCAAAAGTGAAGACTTCTGAAAAAGAACTTTTCCACCCACCCGCTAAGTATAATAAAGGATTTAGAAAGTTGACAAGAGTCAAGACTAGTCCAAATTATTTGATAGCTACTGTCCATTGTGGTCAAGCTCTTTTTTTTAATTCCTATCCCAGACTATGCATAAAATAGAGCTTGAATCACAGAGTGACATGCATTGTGCACTGCAGCACATTAAGAAGTATTAACAAAGCAACTTCAGACTTGAGCATTATGCTCTGTGTAGTAAGTCATTTAATCAACAATGACTACAATGAAAAAGAGGAACTGAATATTTCCTAAACTTACTCATAATAGAAAACAGATAGCAAAAGCAAAATGATCAAAGAAACTAAACTCCAATTAGACAAAATAGAAAGAGAAGGTGGACATGGAAAACAACCTTATGTCTGAACATTTGATCATTTTGATCATCAGAACATGTTAGATGATCCGAATTAAGAGCAGATATAAGTTCTTGAAGAATCATGGCAGTTGATTTTTTAGATGAACCACCAGCAGCCAACTCATTATCTTGAGACCTTAATTCCTTCAACTTCTGTTGTAGGACGGCACCTAAAACATCTGCTCTCAAGGGTGGTGGTCTTTGGAAATAAGACTTAATCTCATTATCAGTGCTTCTCTGAGTTCTCTCTTCCTTTTCAGCAGTTACCACTGTCTTTTGCTTAAAAGGGGAATTAAGGGTTAATGAAACTACCTCATTGACCTTAACTATATTTCCCTGACCACCACGTTTACTTTTGGCATTAGAACAGTTTGGGGAGAAAGGATCAAAACCTCTCCTTTTTCCCCCCATTGCATCAGAACTAACATTTCTTTGTTTCAATGTAACCAAATTAACAGAAGCTTCACTACCTTCAACTTGATAGACATTTGGGGTCCTTCTCTTCCTCTCTGTGGTGCTTATGCAAGACAAGGGATCATCCTGTCTATTAGAAGGTTTTCTCTCAAGCTGGTCAAATTTGGAACAAACCACTTTGGTTGGAGACCTCATCCTAGTTCGACCACTAAGGTTTCTATTCAAAGCAACAAAGTCTTTAGTTCCATTCTCAGCACTTGCAGCTGATGATACTCTCTTCACATGCATATTACTTATTCTACATCCAGGTGAAGTTCTTTCACTACTTAACTCCCGTTCTTGTGATTGAGTTTTGTGTTTGAAGGCAAAAGAAGATGCTTCATCATCCTCTAGTGCCCCACATGGTTGGCGTGATGAATTCCATTTAGCAGTCAAAGGCATTCTTCCAATGGTGGACTCATTACAAGACTGTGCAATTCTTTTGCCATCTTCATTAACAAGAGTTATGAGCTTCTCCTGACTTCTCAGAAGAACAACATCATTTTCATGGCAAGGGATGAATGACTTTCCCTTCTGTGCTAATCCCAAAGATGAGGTAGTAAACACATCTGAAACAATAGGTGTAGGAACATGTGACTGTTCCTCAACTTCTGGCCTGCAATTGACAACATCAATCAAATTACCACAGTTTTTGCAAGAAGTATGCCCCATCAAAGACTTGGCCGTGTTGGCATCATAACCAGATTGATTTTGTGTATCTACTAGCCTATTTCCCACCCTTTCTGTAACAATGCCATTATTGGGAGGATAAATGGAAGGGGAAGATGTAAGAGAACATTTGGTTCTCTTTGTAGCCTGAAGACCAGGTTCCAAGATCCTAGTAGCTGCTCCTATTAACCTAGAGCTTCGAGATGCACACTTTCCAGAAGTAATTCTTGGACTCTTTAAAGGAGAAGCAAGAGTAGGGTGATGGTGCTTATACTTTCTTGCTCGTGAAAAAACACTCTTAATTTGCAGTGCCTCAGCTCCAAACCTAGTAGTCACAACCTTTCTCTCATATGTCCCAGTTTTCTGAAGCTTCTGAGGTCTTGATTCATGTTTTGAATTTGCTACTCCCATTTCCAAATCCACCCCTTGCTTATCAGTCTCATTACTATCAGGAAAGGAAGATTTCTTGAACCTATCTCTTTGTGAAGCTGGAATAGATTCTAGACCCATCAACCTAGCTACCAAACTCGGAACTCGCATTTCATGCTTCTGTTCTCCCTCTGTAACACGATTCCCACCTTTTTTGGCAGTTGGGAAACCTCCATTGTTCTCATTAGCAATCTACAAATGAAATATAATCACAAAAACCAACTCAAATATATAACTTTTCAACTTCAACAATTCAAAAATAAAATTAAAAAAGCTAAATAGATAAATAGCATTAATCCAAGCCAACACAACTAGCATAAGTCATACCAAGTGGAGCTTTGAACTTGGCATTTTCTCATCTCCTTTAAACTTCTTTGAAGAAGCTTGTTTTCCACGAGCTGCTGATACAATCAAATCAACAACAAAAACCAAACTTTTTCATCAGTTTCCACAAACAAACAAAAAATGCAGTTCATTGTTCAAGTCAAATATGTTAATGACAAGACTAACCAGGAAGCAAAAGTTTCTTGGACAAGAACCTCTTCTTGGTGAGCCTCCGGTTCCAATCAAGTAGATGAAAGAAAATACCAATGCAACCACCTTGCCTTTGATTCTTCTTCTCTGTTATTGCCAAACAAGACGAACCCTTGCCAACAGTATCATTCATTTCTTCAACACTTGCAAACAAACACAACACGCACACACACAAAAGCTTCACTCTAAACTAAAACACCAAAAATCTACATCCACAAAACACATTATCCAAACCCCATTTTTCAACATTCACTTACAAAACCAAGAACACACTACAAAGTACAAACGACACTTCCACTCACAAAAACACAGTGTGAACAAACACAACTGCAAAAAAGCGACCCTTCAGCTGAAAAAACGACGAGGACCCCACCACAAAAGAAAGAGAACAGCAGAAGGAGAAAGAAGAGACAAGAGGAAGGACCCAAGTGTTTTTGTAGAAAAAGGAAGGCCAAAAAGAAACGTTGCAAAGTCAGAAGTCCACTGCAAAAAAGAACACTACTTTGCATGAATCGACGTGGTTTTTGAGATACCCGAGACGCAGATGGAAGCTCGAGGAATCTGCCATTGGCAGAGCAACAGAGCTTTTTCTTCTCTTTCTTCTCTGCAGTGATAGAAAACTCGTTGAGTTGTGACTGCATTTGTCAAGGGTGGCAAATTTTTACTACAATATTTTTTTTATTGTTAGATTAAAATTAAGGAAAGATTGTTTGTCATTCGGAAGGATAGGAAGTTATATCATTTTAAGAAAGATATACACAGAAAATTTGAATTTTAAATTAAAAAAAATTATTCACTTTCTCTCTCCTATGATTTCCGTTCTTCTGTGTCTATCTCTTTCCTAAAATGACATAACTTATGTCATTTAAAATGACAAATACCAAATCCTAAAATTAAATAAACGATTTCTATTTGAGATTATTAAATAATTATTGATTTGATTTTGAAATAATTGTTACAGAAAATAAGTTTTAAATATATCTTTCCCATAATATAATATAAAAAAACCGTGTTCGAATTAACTTTTTTTTACGTCGTTAGCAAAAACTAACATAAAAACGGGTTATATTGAGTATCAACACATATAAGTATAACATTGATCCCTATTAATTTTAGGTTATTTGTATCGTGTTGCAATAACCTAATAAGTGATGTATAAATATGATAATTAAAATATCAATTTATCATTATATTTTTATGATTTTTTTCATCAAAATACTTTTCTGAATATTCTAAATGCTTTTACATTTTTATAATTTTTTTATATTAGGATTTTACATTTTATAATTTTTTTATCCCCTTCTCCTTTTAGATAAAATCTCATTTTTTAACTATATTGGGTATAAGAGTTATTCATTATCCATCTAAAAAATAAGCATCAAAATATTAATTATCATCACCAAATATGTGAATTAATTGACAGAGGTATCAGGATCTCGAGTTCAATTTTTACATAAGTAGCTGTTTTCAATATTAGGAAATACTTTTATCATGTTACATATACATTGAAATTTGAGCCATCATTTCTTTTTTTCTTTTTCTTTTCTTTTAATTGTGGAACCCACCTAATTATGTCTCTACATATGACAATGTTATCTCATGTAATGTAATGTAATATGAGAAAAGCATTGCCCTTATAAATTTTATGGGAATAGAGCTTCTCATGTGAAAAAGTGATCATATGTAGGGGTGTGCAAAATAACTAAAAAACTGAACCGAATCATGAACCGAACCAAACCGCCCCTTAAAATAATCGGTTTTAAAAAAATCAGTTCATGAACCGAACCAGTTTTTACAACCAGTTTAAGAATCGAACCGCTTTTTAGAACTAGTTTAACAACCGAACCGAACAATTTAAACCAATTCGGTTCGGTTTTTCAAAAAAATCGGCTCGGTTCGACCCATGCATATCCCTAGTTATATGTCCATGTTATTTGATCACAACTATTCATTGATGATGAGATAAGAGAGAGAAAAATATATAATTTTTAAATGAGTGGTTGTAATCAAATAACATGACCACTTTTTCACATGAGTGAATCTACTCCCAAATTTGATAGGAAAACTTTTTTCCACAATCATGTCCAATTCAACTAGATTAATACGAACAAATTATAAAAAAAAAAATTGATTATCACTTCCAATATGTGGGAAGAGTGACCATTTTGCTACACTTGGCAAACAAATTTACCATACTGTCACACCAACAGTAAATTTTGCCAAAATGCCACGCTGCACCCTTAGCCGTCGTTGAAGAAGTCTGAAAATATAACTAATTCGCATTATCTTATCTTAACTCTTAATTATTTTCAGACTTCTTCAACGACGGCTAAGGGTGCAGCGTGGCATTTTGACAAAATTTACTGTTTGCGTGACAGTCTGATAAATTTTTTTGCGACGTGTGGCAAAATAGTCACTTTTCCCAATATGTGTGAGTTCAACAGCGCGTGCAGAGAGCGACAAGAGGCGCGTGAGCGTTGGTTGAGTCTAATGAGACACAAAGGACACCCACGCTCACCTATCGAGACAACCTATTATTAGTCAAAACGACAGCTCAAGTCAACAAATTCAAGTTAATTGTAAAAAATACATAATATAAATTTGGATTTTATTTCAGTACTTTTTTAATGACAAATATTATATAAAATAAGATATTATATCTATTTTTTTATACCTATTCTATTTATTCCTTTTTAAGTAAGTATAATATCCTATCTTATATTATATTAATTTTAAAATTATGAATTTGTTTTTGATAAAAACTAAAAGATATCTTTATTCAACCTCCTCATCTATTTTATTTTCAAAGTATGGCCCAAAGATTTTTTTTATCCTTCAAAAGATTCCAAAATTACTTGATCCAAGGATCTGGACCAAGCAACCCTCGACTCTTAACTTTGATGTTTGAGCTACCGGCCTTAGGAGTTTATGGAATTTTTTACTATTTAGGGTTTAACTTCTATTAGTCAATCTATAATATTTGACATTAAATCTGTAATTTCAAAAAAAAAAATTACTTTCATTTAGAAGAAAAAAATCAAAGTTGATCCCATACATTTTGTTTCATTTTTTACAAAACAAAAAAGTGAATTTTTTTTGGGGTACTATATTGATGACTTTTTTTATTAAAAAAATTGTTAATTCAAGCATTTAAACACTAACTGTGTTTTTAACTGAATAACTGATATTCAGAAAAAGTAATAATTATTATTATTTTATAGTTAGATATGTTATATCATACCCTAAACTCGTTAGAGTAATATAATATTGCCGTCAGGCTCGTTAGAGTAATATAATATTGTCGTCGTAGGCAACCATTTGCAAATGTTATCATACTTTAAATTAATAAGGGCGTTCACTATAAGATAAATTTTTTCGTATTTAAAAATTATGATTTTTAAAAATATGGTGAAAAAGTTATTTTTTCCAAAATGTTATTAAAAAGCTACTGAAATTTTCTCCCATAGAAAATATAATTTTTTTTATCACCTGGGATTCCAAGATTACCATCCCTTGATGGTATTCTTAGATGGCATTTAGAAGAAAAATTATACATAAAATAAAATTCTCGAAAAATCAAATTCTTGAAAAAAAATTCAGAAATCTTATACCAAAGATGGGTAAATAAGATTATCACTATCATTTTCTCGAAAATCTCAAAAAAATTCCTGTATCAAATATCCCGGTAATGTATATGGCGCATCCACCATTCTGATAAAAAATAATAATACAAAAATAAACGTTAAAATGAAAGACAATAGAATATTAGGATTTTATTTTATATTTTAAAAGTATGGGTTCGATCTATTATATTTTAAAAATAAAATAAAACAAGATAAGTGATTAGAAAAATAATGCATCTTAATTTCATAAAAAATAAAGAAAACAAAAACAACAAAACAAAAAAAGCGTGCCGAGCAGCATTATATAAGTTGGAATGGGATAATTTTTAGTAGAAAATTATTTTGAGCTCTATCATGGTACAATATTATCTCATTGATAAAATGTTGAAGACTCGTGAGTTGCATAGGTAAAAAAATGTGAATATATATCAACGCACTGTGTCGTCACATGAATGAATAATGATGGGAATAGCATGTGATAAAGAGAAGAATTTAAAAAAGCTTGAGCACGCTTAAGAACACAGTCTTTGATGCTCTTATAGTTTCCTTTGTAAGTATTAGTATTTCGTCCTTATTAACATTTTGCAAATATATAATTAATGTGGTGAATAGCATAAGTAAAAAGGTGTCTTAATATCAATGAGATTGAAAAGAGCTCCATAGTGATTGAAATATTATGAGCTCATAAGTGATTAATGACTCCAACAACATCACTATCATGAGATTCACTTTCACATAATTAAGGTGGCGACAATACCCCCACATACATAGTGAGCTGTGAGCCAAGAGCAATTGAAGTCACAAATTGAGCATTTAGCAAAAGAAATAAGACTTTGAGCATACCATATCAAATAGATGGAGATGAAGTTAAGGATAGAACTAGCTAAAGTAACACTCCCTTAGATGGATTTTAGTTTGAAATATTGCTGAGATTAAGTATTTACATTTAAACTCATGTACAGGTTAGAAATGGACTCCCAATCGGCAATGGATTGACGCACCGGTGACCTAGGTTGGGTCACATGTCCGCACTTTTTTTTATTTTTTATTTGTAGTCATGTAGGTTATTATTTGTCTTTTGGTTCAATATTTATAGTAGGAGTAAATATCATTTTAAGTCCCTAACAAAAAATATGATACCTATTTTAGTCTCTTACCAAAAATTAGTCTCGAGGAGGTCCCTAAAAAATTCAAAGTGGATAATTTAATTAAAATCGTGATCCCTCACAAATTCAAAAAAGACTTACATTAGTCTCAAAAAGACTAAAATAGGTCCACTTTAAATTTCATAGGGACCAGGTGACTTTTTTTTTTTTTATAATGGACTAAAGTGAGGACTGAATTTTTGTTAGGGACCAAAAATGATATTTATTCTTATATTAGTTAGCAACGTAGCAATGTACAGATATGCTTAAAACAACGTAGCAACACAAATTGATTAGAGAGAAAACTTTTCTTCCTCCCCTGTCACATACTCATTCCCATGATTTCTTCATCCTTTGTTATGGAAGCAACTAGATTATGAGCGGGTTCAAGCGTTAATTTAAAATATTTTTACAAAAAAAAATTCGGGGACGCTGCTCCCGATTCCCCGCCACTAAATACGCGGATATAAAAAAATTTTGAATAATAAGAAGTTAAAAAAGATGTATTTTTTTATTTTATTTTTTTCGTGCAGAACACATGTGCCTTTTCAATGTTAACTGATTGTTTTTCAAGATGTGACCTTTCACATTTTATAAATATGAAAAGTTCAAGAAAAAATTGGCCATTATTTCTGATTGCTTTTTTTCGTTTTTACTCTACATGTATATATATCATATCAAATTCATCGTTCTGTGTGATTATTTTGCCATTTTATTGAGTTTGAAGGGGCTCTTGTTATGGTAGTGTTGCCAATTGCAAGAGATATAATTTGTTCTATTATGGAAGACAATTCTCTGATGTTTTTAGACACCGATCGAGGAAACAAATTATCTTAAGAAACAAGAGCAATCTTTGGGCTTAGATTGTTTTTC